GAGAAGGGTGTTGGAAATGGAGACTGGGCTATCACCCACTCTAACTCACCATTGTTGGCCTGGTGCATCTCTTGGGTTACTTAAAACCTACTCGCACTCCCTCTTTCCCACATACATATTTAACCTGGGGTGGTGGGCACTCACTCCATACAAGAGGAGTATGGAGGCAGCCAGCTCCTGCCTACCGCTTGGAGTCCAGGTTCCCTGTGACCCCTGCAGGACCCTCTTTGAGGTTCAGGTATGGCTTCTCACGGTCGGATGATTTAAGCCAAGACAAGTTCATTGTCTCCTAAAATGTGAAAGATGGGATGTTCCAAGTGTTGGAGAGAATGGGGGCCAATAGAACACCATATGCTCTTGCCGGTCTAAACTGACACAGCTACTTTGAAAGACTTCTGGCACTATCTAATACAACTGAACACCCGCATTCACTCTGAGCCGGGTGAATACCTGACAGAGACATGAGCAGAGGTGCAAGAAAACATGTGTTCTACAAAGTTTGAAGCAGCATAATTCATAACAGCCTGAAACTGAAAACCACCCAGATGTCCACTGACGGTAGAAGGGAAGAGGGAGCAGCATACAGAAATAAGGATGAATGTTCTAGATGTACACATCTCAAAACAATGCAGTGTAAAAGAAGCTATAGACAAGAGTATGTACTGTGTGGTTCCATTTATAGAAAAAACAAAAACAAGTAAGAGCTGCTCTGTGGTATCAGAAAAAGTCAGGATAGCAGTTCCCTTTCAGGGAGAGGGTGGTGCATGGAAGGGAACACAGGCAGGTGTTCTAGGATGTTGGTAATGTTCTTCTAGATCTGGGTGCTGGTTATATGGGGGTATTCAATTTCTGAAAGTTTATTGAGCTGTATTCTTTTCTGTATGTGTACTTTTGTGTATACTGTTGTGAAATAATAGAAAAAAAACTATATGCACACACACACACACACATGCCCTTGGTTCCTGGCACAGAACTGTAATTCTGTTGTAATTTCATAAGTGACAGGAGCACTAGGAGCATCTTTGTTCTAATATTTGGCCTTTGACCCTGGTTCATGATGATTTTTAAATCCCTTGGAATTTCCTTGGTGATTGGAGTGTCCTTTGTTCTAATGTGGTGACCCGTGGTGGGCCCCTGGATGGCTTCAGGATGGATCTGGTCACCAAAAGACCAAGCCACGATTAGACAGGTGGAGCTTTTACCTCCACCCGCTAGCCTCCAAGAAAGGGAAAGGACTGGAGATTGAGTTAATCATCGATTATGCCTGTGTGGGGAAGCCTTCATAAAAATCTCAGGGGTGCAGGGTTTGGACAGCTTCTGGGTTGGTGACTACATCCACACATCTTGCAGGGTGGGGGGCCGCAGCTCCAAAGAGACAGGGACTCCTCGGCTTTGTGTCTTTCCAGACCTCACTCTATATATTTCTTCGTCTAGCTGTTCATCTGTAGCCTTTATGATAACCTGTACTGTAAAATAAACTGGGAAATGCAAGTGAATGTTTCCCTGAGTTCTGTGAGCTGTTCCAGCAGGTGATAAAATCTCAGGAGGGAGTCATGGGAACCTTCAGTTTGTAGCTGAGTCTGACAGAAGTCATGGTTAATCTGGGGCCTACTTACTGAGCTTGGAATCGGAAGTGGGCCGCAGTTTTATGCAGCTGAGTCCTTTACCTGTGAGAATTGTACTAACTTCAGTTAGTGTCATAATTGAATTGCATTGTAGAACACTCAGCTGGTGTCACAGAGAATTGCTTAGTGTGGGGAAAACACCCCACACATCTGTTGTCATAAATATTGTGTGTGCGAGTAAAGGAAAACAGGGGTGTGTTTTTTTCTGAACAACCGTGCATCAATAAGCTATGAAGAAGAAAACCAACTCAAAATACAGGGAAACACAGTCAATGCACAATGTGAATAAATAATAAAACTCTTCTTTTCAGAAAAAAATAGAATAAAAAACATAGGGTATACCACGGTCAGTAAACCACATCCAGCCCAGTCCTGCTGGACAGAAACAAGGGGTCTCTTCCATGACCACATATCAGGTTCTTGTAGGGGATCTGGCAACCCCTCCCTTGTTAACAGGGGTGACCACCATTGACCAGGCTTGAGATTTTAGGGATATATGACTCCCTCCATCATTTGTCAGGCTTCTGGTCAAGTCTATGCATGAGTAATCACAATCATATAACTTATCTAAAGAGTCTTCAAATGGTTTTCTAATGAAAGACTATATTTTCCCCCCAAATAGGTAATATATTTGACTTTTTCAAAATTAAAGCAATACAAAAAGATATAAAATGAGGTCTTATTCTCACTTCTGTTCTCTTTTATTAGTTCCTTGGGTATACCTCAAATGTTTCTTTTTGGGATACAAGCAAGACCAAGTATACGAATATTTAAGTCTTGTAGGGGCTGGTCCCTGCGTGCTCAGTTGCAGTGGAGGTAATTCAAAACGAAGCAGGTGGAGAAGCCACCTGTGGTCCATCTTTGCTCCCTTGGGCCTCTATCTTATCTCCTGATAAAGCTGCCTCTTCTCTGTCTCCCTTTGTTCTGACTTCAACTTGGATATTCAAAGAAAATTGTTTATTTCAACCCAGCAAGGCTCCAAATTGTGAGACTCAGCTAGTTTAGGTTGTGAGCTGCACCTCATCAAGGCCTCCTCTCTCACCAAGGCCTTATTTTCTTTAATCTCTGCGTTCAAATCCATTCTCTCTAATCTGGATTTGCCACTCTCTTGGGCTTTGCTGAAAGCTACTTTAAAAAGGAAGGAAAAAAGGCAACACTCTCAAGTGTTCTGTATTTTTCCTGAGATTTCTCCTATAATACAACTTTGGTTGGCATGTGGGTTTTTTCCAAGGTTTAGCAAGTGATAGTGGTTCAGCTCTTTATGACTTAACATGTTGGTCACCAACTTTCAAACATGGAATAGAGAGTCTTCACCACTGGCCACCTTAACCTTCAGTTAGCCAATCCCACATTTTAGTATTTGGTTTTTGTGTCCCACTTCTAGTAACAAGTTATTTGCTTGTTAGGTATGGGTTCAGCTACAAGTTCTAGAACAGTCTCTATGAATGGCTTAAACAAATGTCTCATGGACTAAAATGGGGCAAGGAAGGTCAATATGGAAGTTCTCACAGTAGTTTAAGTAGTGGATGATGGTTTCCTGGGTGTTAGTTATACTTCAATAAAGCTGAGGGGTGGGGGGAATGTAGCTCCTAGAACCTGGCTTGAACAACTAAATGGATGGCAGTGACATTTGCTAAACTGGGAAAAACAGAGAGGTACATGTTTGGGGGTGAAAATATTTCAGTGGGCCAAGTTAAGTTTGGGATCCTAGTTAGACACTCCTGTGGAGAAGGCAAGTAGGCAGTTATTTTGAGGAGTCAGGACTTATAGGCCAGGTCACTGTTAGAAATCTTTTTTTGGAGTCATCTGCATGTAAATAGCACCTGAGACCACATGATTAGATGAAATCACATAAGCAGAGTGGATAGGTAAACAAAGAAGGGGACTAAGAATAGAACCCTAAGTACCCTGATATTTATAGGTTGAGCAGAAGGTGAGAAGTCAGTAAAAGAACCCAAGAAAGAACAGCCAGTAAGGTAGAAGGACCAAGAGGACAGGGCATCAAAAAACAAGAGAAGAAGGTGTTTCAAAGTAGGAATGACTGACTGTGAGGAATAGTACCGAAAGGGAGAGTAAAAACAAAGAAAAGGAGAAGGCACCGCTGAATTTGCATGAAGACTGCAGTTTCAGTAGTGCAGTGGAGAAGAAACCACAGCAAGATGAATGATCCTGGGGATGGTCTAGTAGAGAGGGAGTGATTGGTGATTCAAAAGAGAGATGACACAGGATAAGATCCACAGAAAAAGTGGAAGTGTTGGATAAAGAGAATGAGCAATGCTTTATCCATCTATCAGACACTGAACTTGTTGCAGCAGTCCATTTCTTGTTTGTATACATATCTCTGGTCAACTCCTAGCACAGAGCCTAGTACCTAAGAGGTACTCAAGAAATGTTAATGAATGAATGAATAAACAACCAGATGGAAGCATGGATGGATGGCAGAGGGAGAGCTGAAAAATGAACTAGATCAAACTAACTCAAACTTCAGAGTAAGGAAAGGAGGAGGAGTCTGGGATTAATAGGGCTTCTTCTATTCTCAGATGGTAAAGAATCTGCTTCTAAAGCGGGAAACCTGGGTTCAGTCTCTGGGTCAGGAAGACTCCCTGCAGAAGGGAATGGCAATCTACTCCAGTATTCTTGTCTGGAGAATCGCGTGGGCAGAGGAGCCTGGCTGGCTACAGTCCATGGGGTCACAGAGACGGACATGACTGAGCAACTAAGCCCCTGCTGTTCTGCCACAATGGTCAGAGAAGGGAGGAAATAATTTTCTGAGCTATTAAAACGAGAAAGTGGTACTTGATCCTAGACAATATTTTCACCATCCATGTTTCTTTCTTCATTCTGCCAACCCATACAAAGACAGGAAGCCTGGCTGCTTGGTTCTCCCGGTTCCCAGACTCCCAACATGATTCTCTCAACCAAGTCCCTGCATCATCTTCAATTCCTAGCTGAAACCACAGCTCTGTATTTCCTAGGGTTGTCTGAATTTTTTCCTTAGAGATGAATCTTAACCTATCTAAGTATACCTGAAGTACAGGACGTTTTCTGTTTTTCTCCATCCTAAAATTGGCCCCAGGGCCCACGGTTGGTGAGCAACTGCAGGGGCTAATGGCTTGATCCTGATAGAACTGGAAAGGCAGGCAACAATTTTTTTCTTTACACTATTATATTTTTTCCTAACTTGCTGTCAGAGAAACCCAGGAACCTGTAGAGGCGTAGGTGGTGGTGGAGCTGAAAGCCAGTCTGGACGCCAGTTGCATCCGCCATCCAACGTCCTCATCCTACTACACTCCTGGGGGCTTCCGGGCTTGCCTACCCCCCTACGGACTTGGGGGTTCAGGTGGTCCAACCCAGGATCCAACCGAGTGTCGCCCTATGGAATGTAGACAGAAGAAATGCCTCCGTCCAGCCCTTACTGGGCCTGAGCCCGTTACACGTGGAAGCACCCCAGCGGCCCGCCGGATCCCGCACTGGTCAGAGGCGGGGCCAATGGGCGGGCAGAAAGGGAGGCGCGTGCGCACAGCGGGCCAGGGAGGGGGCGGAGCAGAGGAAAAACGTACTGAGGACGGGAGCTGGCGAGGTTCATGCTGGAGTGCTTCGCGTCTGGGGAAAAACTGGTGGCAGCTGGAAGCAACAAGGGTGAGTGAACCGGGGGCCTCCCGCGATCCGGCTGCGGCCTGTGATCCCTGTGGCCCGACCTTGGAGGAGGAGGTCCGTGGGGGCGGCATTCAGGAGTCTGCAGCGGGGCGGGATCCTGGCGTTCCTTCGGGGGGTTTCGGGGCTTCTGGCTAGGGTTGGAAGGCAAGAGCGGCCTGGGTGGAGGTCTTGGACCCCGAGCCGCCGCGGGAAGCTAGCCGACTAGGAGCAGAGCCTCCCTCCCGGGGCATATGCCGTAGGGGCTTTAAAGCCTGATGGGCCGGCCGGGGTCGATCTCCGCGCTCTTGGAGGACCTGCGGTGGACCTGCGCGCGGGTCTGAGTCGTTGCTCTCCGTCTGCCCCTGGTACCCCGTCTCTCTCTGGGAGAGACAGTAAATAGGTCCTGACGGGCGCCGAGCTTGGCCAGGCTGTACCAGGGGAACAAGGAGGCGGGGAAGCCTGTATTCCTCTCTTGTATCCCCTGTGTGGGCATGGCACCGCCATCCATCCAGACGCCCAGGCAGAGACCTGCCCGTCATTGTCACCTCTTGCACGCTTTACCCATCCACATCGAACCCATCACAAATCTCTCCTGGCTACGCCGACTTCTCCACGCCCAGTTCCTCTGCTCTAGCAAGTTCAGGCCACCGTCATCTCTCCCCTGTGCCCCTTCTTCATCCTCTGTGCTTTGTTATATATTGGAAAGCCAGAGTGATGGCCTTAAAACCGAAATCTGATCACGATCACCAGAACCCTCCCCCCATCCCCTGATCTTCCTTCTGTGGATCCCCATTGCTCTTACAAGCTCTTGAACATCGCTTTCAATGCCCTTGGTGACCTGTCTTCTTTTTCACTTTACTAACTCATCCATCTCCACTATACTGTCTTCAACCATATTGAACCGTTTTTAGTTCCCAGATTGGACCAAGTTCCTTCTAGGATTAGGTGTTTGTTACAGCATGTTCGCTCTACCTGAAGTACTATCCTTTAATTGAAAAAAATCATCCTTCATATATTAACCCAGGTAGGGGTTGGGGCTATTGCCATACCCCACAGCTGTCCCATTTACTAGTCTTTTCCACTGGGCTGTAATCTGTGTGACAGGAGCCTGTCTGGTTCTTGTCACACAGATTATACTATCCTCAGACATACCTGTCCTCAGAACCTTGTGCAGCCCCAAGCTGTTTGGTGAAGTTGTTTTGTTGTTTAGTCACATCCAACTCTTTTGCAATCCCATGAACTGTAGCCTGCCAGGCTTCTCTGTCCATGGGATTTCCCAGGCAAGAATACTGGAGTGGGTTGCCATTTCCTTCTCCAGGGGATCTTCCCAACCCAGGGATTGAACCCCATGCCTCCCGCATTGCAGGCAGATTCATTACTGCTGAGCCACCAGGGAAACCCAGGAAACAGTTTAGTTAAATGTATAAGTGAAGCATGGCAGCTCTCTCCGAAATGAACAAATAGGTCAAGTTATTAACTGCCGGCTTCTCCAGAACCAGTTCTTAACCCGCAGCCCATGTAGAGCTTTCTTTGTCTAGGAACTTGGTTCTTCCCTTACTTTCAGTCCAGGACCATGGCAGTTTTAAATGGGAAAGTAACAGAGTTTTTCCTTGGCATCAACTCTGGGTACAGGTTGTGTGGCTACTTTGAGTCTGATTCTTTTTTTTTTTTTTAAAACAAGCTCTGGCCAGTTTTATTAAAGAAAAATTGTACATGATTTACTTTTCACCAGTCTGTTCTGGCATGCTTCTAATAATATCAGAATCACCTGGATCAATGATAGCCAGTGTGCATACTCTGTAGTATTTTCCACATGCCGTGCCCAATTCAATATTATTGCCACTGTAGTGATGGACACCAGTTTTGGCCAACATGGCGTAATACTCTATTTCAGATTTCCTCAAGGCTGGGCAGTTGTTGGCGAGGATGACCAGTTTCGCTTTGCCTTGTCTGATCATTTTCAGAGTCTGTTTGTACCCCAGCTCGTACTTTCCACTTTTCATAACCAGCTGGAGCCTAGAGTTGATCTACTCCAGTGACTTTTTCTACAAAGCAAACATTTAATACGAACTTGAAGGCCTTGTTTGCAACCACTCAAGACTGGATCCAGGGACTTCCCTAGTGGTCCAGTGGTTAAGTCTCCCGCGCTTCCAAGCAGGGAGCACGGGTTCCATCCCTAGAAAGGGAACAAAGATCTCGCAAGCCACGGCCAAAAAAAACAAACTGGATCCAGCTTCCTGGAACCGGAGCCCCTTAATAAAACCTCCGAAGTAGAGGGTTCCAAGGCACTGAGACGGACTCTCGGGTTCTTTCTGGAAGCCTCCTAGGCCAGCGGGAACGCTGTACGCCCAGAGTGCTCAGAACTGCCCGCCCCGGCCAAGACTCATCTCTCCACGTGAAATAGGCTTCCGGCCCCGGCCTGCTTCACTCACCGTCTTCTTGGCGGCCACCATCTTCCTGCTTTAGATGCGGGACGCCCCCAACCAAGAGCAGCCGCCAAGATGGCCGGGGAGCGAGAAAGTGAGTCTGATTCTTAACTGAGGGCGGTAGCATGAGAGAAGAGTTGCCTACAACTGCTGGGAAGAAGGCTGGCTCCAAATTCTTCGGTGCTGATAAGACTAAGGACACAATAAGAGTGGGCCAGGCCAAACCACTGCTGGGAGGACTCCTGGGGGAAGTTATTTTTCTAGCTTAGGTCAGATCCTCTGTGATAGCGAATAACACACCTGGGTTCCAGGGCCCAGAGCCCTGATACAGAGTGAGGGCATGCTACGCCGGGTGAGCTCAGTTTTGTGTTATAAATTCACTAGGGTAAAGGAGAGACAGAGAAAATAGCTTCCCCGTCTTCACAGAGGGAGGGAAAGAGAAAAATCACGGAGAACAGTATGTGACCATATGTTAAGGCCAAGTGAGTATGAGAGACCGCAGACAGGTCAGAGGAGGGAACAGTTGGTTTTGGCTGAGAGAACACAGAGATGACATTTGAATTGGGCCTGGAAGGAAGAGGGAGGATGGACAGGTGGAACCAGTGGGAACAAATGCCCTAGGGCTGGAAGAGGCTGCTGGAGCCGGGAGGAAAGCCCTGTTAGAGTCAAGGCCCTGTGCGAGCCAGCCATCAGTGGTCTAGCGCTTCTCCCCAGAACTCCTGCGAAGGATGCTCAAATTCAGAAATCTCTCCTCCTCTGGATTTTTCTCTAGCCTAACCTTTACACTTTCTGAAAGGCCAGTGAACCCAGGAACTCCTGGGGCTTATCTGCCAAGCTCTTTGCTTATGGCCTTGAGCTAAGTAGTTAGAGTGTGGATGATGCAACTTGTTCTTTTGGCGGAAGGGGTTGCTAGTATTTCCTTTTCAGTGTGAGCAGTATGGTTTGTCAGGTGGCAGTCAGATTCCCTGTTCTTGTAGCACTTGCTAGGGGGAGTTTCTCTTCTGTGTTTGCAAATTTGGCTTTTGTTGTGGTCTCAAGGTTAGAAATCTGCCACAGCAAACCAAAATGGGATAAGCCCCAAATGGATGGTTCTTGGCCTTTATCCTGTCTCCTTTGAAGAGGGGATAATTTGGACTCAAAGTTACTATATTACCAAGCACTTGGTTGCTTTTTGGTCTTATGCCAATAGAACCTCTCCCCCTCACCCTACCCCTACCTGATATACTAAGTATCCAACCACATGGTTATAGGAGATGGTGCCATGGGTCTGTTGATCACTGAGCTCTATTATCTGATAGATAGTGCCAAGACCAAGTTTCATCCTCAGTTACATTGACATCAGAACCTGGCAGTGTATGGGTGAGGATGGTAACCCCCCAGCTCCCAAGGACCATGGCACGAAGGCTGAGAACCACCAGCCTCTCTGCAGGAACTGTGCCCAGTGCTGTGAATGTGAATCCCGCCCCCAGCCTCACAGAGCCCAGGCCAACAGAGGGCACCAAGAGGTCCTCAGACATGTTCACGGGCCCGCGCACAGCTGTTGTCAGCAACAGACAGGACCCTTCTGAAGGGAAGCACTTAGGAGCATATGGGAAGACTGTCTAAGCCAGACTTGGAATTGAATAAGGCTTGCTGGAGAAAGAGACATCTAATGCATTATGAATCTTAAAGGCTTCCCCCTCTGGTCCCTCCTGTCCCAGAACTCGCCAGTGTGTGGTCAGAACAAGCTGTTCTTCTCTGGTTGGGGCAGTCTTTGTGGAGAGTAACCTGAGACCTTGATTTCAGGTACCAGGTAGAATGGCAGTGGCCTCATCAGTGTCTGGACACTTCTATTTGGTAAAATTGGGATGTAGTTTCTGGCTGTTCCTAAATTATTTTCTAGAGATGAGACTCAACCAGAATCCCCCTTTTTATTCCATCCATATAGAACTGGAACAAAATTATGGGATGAATTGCATTAAATATATATTTGTAAAAACATGTTTATTGTAGAAATTTTAGAAGCAATGGAAAAGTAGAAGAAAAATAAAAGTCACTCCTAATCTCATAATTCAGAAAGTAATCTTTGTTAATAGTTTTTAGTCTTTGTTCTGTGTATGAGAAATATACGTACATTGTTTTGTTTTTTATTAAAAATGAATTTTTTTTTTTTTTTTGGCTGCACCACGCAGCTTGTGGGATCTTAGTTCCCCAACCAGGAACTGAACTCAGACCCACAGCAGTGGAAGCACCGAGTCTTAGCCACTGGACCATCAGGGAATTACCCCCAAATGAATTGTTCTTTACAGACTTTTGTGGCCTGCTCTTTTTCATTTGGTGTGTATTGAACGTCTTTTTCTGCTATGAAATATGACAATTGCATTTTGATGTCCCTATTCAGTCGCGAGACTCGATGCTTCTTTTTACACCTAGAAGTTATATATCCCAGGGACCATTGTCTCCTTAAAGGAGGGTATACTGCTGATATCCAGCAAAGCAGGACTGGGAAATTTTCCTAAACATTGTGGGGATGGCATTTTCCTAGGGTCCCGCCTTCCAGAGCCTCTTGGGGTAGGTGAGAGGGGCCAGAACACCTCTGAGTAGAGGTCTCCTGGCTGTCCTTCAACTTCTTTTTTTATAGAGGTCAGTCTGTAAGCCCTGGAAGGATCAGGACTTTGAGTATAATAGCAGTTAGGTAAGGCTGCCTGAGCCTTTGGGGGTGCAGGTGGGAGCAAGGCAGCCCTGCCTTCGGGGAGCTTGCTGTGTAGCCGGCTGTGTCTCCATGTTGACCTTGACTCCAAGTCCAGCCAAACCCCAGAAGTACTTGATGGAACCTAATCCCTGTGGAGCTCTCCTCCCCAGTGCTCTTTCACGTGGCTCAATTACTTGCCTCCCTCACAGCCCTGGGAGGTGGATGAGGCAGGGGTTAATGTCCACTGCCATGGGCCTTGATCTAACCCACCCGTCGTTTCCCTCAACCCCTGTCTCTGGTCTCACTCTACCTAATACCTTCCCCACTGCACTGCCAGATGAGCCATTCTGAAACCATCTCTGCCCTCATCTCCCTCAGCGGCTCCCATTCATCCCCAGGCAATGTCAGCCTCTTTGGCCTAGCATGCAGAGCTGCCTCCAGCATGGCCTGGTTAGCCTCTCCAGCCTGTTGCCCACTGTTCCATCCACTTCATACCCTCTAAGCTCACTTGGAGTATCTCTCCCACTTGTCTGCACCCACCCTTTTACTCACACCTTCCATTCATCCTTCAGTTCCTGCACGTCCACTGCACACCCCTCTGTCTGGACCTGCTGAAGTGTCCCCATGTCTGTTAACCTCTGGCCTTCTCTAGTCCAAAGGACACTTCATCCTCTGAACTCTCAGGGGGTTTCATCTTTCTTTAGTACACCTCACTTTCTGCCTTGATTCATGCTCTCGGCAGGAAGTATTTCTCTCACCAGACTGTAAGCTGCTCGTAGGCAGGAGTGCTCTCCAGATCCCGGTAAGCTCTCATTGAGCTGCTTGGCATTCTGAAGGGGCTTCAGGAAAGGTCATGGACCCGCCAGCCCATTTGAGTGACGGGGACCTGGAGAGCCCGAGGCCATCCTGCGGTCTAGTGGCAGAGCTGGCCAGTTCTCTCCTCCAGCCCTGCTCCTTCACCCAGTTCCCCGGAGTGTGCTGTGTCAAATCTTGAAAGAGCCTCAGTTATGGTGTTCTCGTCTTCACCTTCTTGTTCCCCACCTCCCAGGTACCGGTGACCATGAGATCTCTGCGACTGCTCAGAATTCCCTTCCTGTGTGGCTTGCTCTGGGCCTTTGGTGCCCCGGGGGCCAGGGCCGAGGAGCCCGGGGCCAGCTCCTCCCATCACGGCAGCATGGGCCTGGATAAGAACACAGTGCATGACCAAGAGTACGTATTCAGCCAGGGCTGTGGTCCAGGGGCCTCCCCGTCTGCAGCTGCAGCCAGTTACAAAGGCACATGCTGTCCCCTTTGCCTTCTACTATTTGTACAACCCCTTGACATTTTCCCAAGCGTGGTATTTATTCCTTGTAGCCCCCTGTAAGTCCAGGTGTTCTTTTTTTGCCATGATATCACAGATGAGACCCAAAGAGGATGAATGGCTTTCCTGAATTCGCTCTGTCTCTCTCTCTCAGCACAGACAGGCAGATAGACACAGACACCAGCAGTAGTGGCAGAGTCCAAAACAGAGCTAAGGTTTCTTGCTTATGACAAGATCCTTTTCTTTTTTCTTGGCATGTTCAAACATTGCATCATTTGTTGGAACTTTTACCCTGGGCCAGTTAGCCTCACACATTCCTGCCTACAATTCCTGGTCTATTATTCTTAAATTGCTTTAAGAAAAAAAAAAATTAATAGCTCCCCCAACAATGTTAGGTAAAGTACCTGCCTGCCATTGCAGAAGACCCAGGAGACATGGGTTCAGTCCCAAGGTCTGGAAGATCCCCTGGAGTAGGAAATGGCAACCCACTTTAATATTCTTGCCCGGAAAATTCCATGGACAGAGGAGCCTGACGGGTTATAGTCCAAGGGGTCACAAAGAGTCGGATACGACTGAACATGCACACACACACCCAAATGTTATAACCGTATTCTAATAATAAAAAGGAAAAAGCACCCATAATCTTGCCAGATGAACTGTTTGATTTTTTTTTTTCCCCTACTCCTTTCATGGCCTTGCCTGTCTATCTTCTTGGAGAGTGGTCTGCCACTGTTTCTGTTAGTTTTTCTGGGATGGATGTACTTGAAGATCTTGAACTTTTCAGAGTCCTTAAGATTTCAGCAGGATCCCAGCCCAGCATCACTGCCAAGTGGTCTGAGCTTCAGTGTTGGTCTTTAGGCATATCATGGAGCATCTCGAAGGTGTCATCAACAAACCAGAGGCGGAGATGTCCCCACAAGAGCTGCAGCTCCATTATTTCAAAATGCATGATTATGATGGCAATAATCTGCTCGACGGCCTAGAACTCTCCACGGCCATCACGCATGTCCATAAGGAGGTAGGTCGGCGGTGGCCCAGGGGGCAGCATCTTGGAGGGGCCTCCCTCTGGTGACTCAGTCCCTGCTCTTGACGACTTCCCCTATCCTTGTACAACACTATTACTGCTTCTCCTTTTTCTGCTCACCTTCAGCTCTGCCTCTTTTCCTGTTCAGAGGGCCTTCTCACAAAGTGTGACCAGCTGAGGCAGAAGTCCCAGAGCCTGCCTTGGATCTTTAGCAAGTGCCACTGGCATTTCCACCATGTGCCAGGGTCTGAGAACTAGCTGAAAGGCATACCACATTCAAAAGGCAGACTGGGGAGAAGTTATATCATTTGGGAAGAATGGCCAGTCTGGGCCAAGGGATCGAGGGATTTGATGATAAGTGGGAGTTTGGGTGATACAGTATGGTGGTCATGTCCTTGTTGTTATCTCTAATTTGAGAGGTGAGGAAACTGAAACTCAGATCTTATGCCTCCAGATCTAATGTCTGTTCCATTTGACCACACTGTAATCTCAAGAGAGGAGGAGAGGCAAAGTTGGGGAGGGGTGTGTGCTCACACCAGCTGCCAGCTGAGCGGGGCTGTGTTTGCTCTGAAGGTAGCGGGGAGCACCGGCGGCTTCCCGCAGGAGACAAGCGTGGCTAATGCAGTGTTGGCTGTGGGAGGCAGACTGGATGCTAGCAAAGACTGGCTTTGAGAGAGGAATCGGGGTCCAGTGGCCCTGGCAGGCGAGGATGGTGGTGGGCAGGAGAGGAGAGGGTCGGGACGTGGGAGAGGTGACAGAGGACGAATTGGCCACAGATACGAGCAGCATCAGCTCAGCCCTTGGCAACGTGAGCCCTGCCACACCCGCTTCTGGAGCAGAAGTGCCTTCACCTCAGAGACTGCAGTGCGGTCTACTGGTCGGCAGTGCCTTCTTCCTCTTGTCCTGACCCCCACATGTCTAGTGTGGGCTCTCACCACTTTAGCAGAGCTGACCTGTGGGAGGGCCTGGGCTGCGAGCTTTTCTTTAGGATTGATTTGTGGGTCCTGGAATCTATGAAACTCCGAGTTCTCTGTAAGCCAGACCCAGCTTTCTACAATGAACATGTATGACTTTGGTAATGAAAAAAGAATGAAAAGTATTTTTTAAAACAAATCAGCAAGGGCCTACTTTGATTGCATTGTCCTTCTAACTGCCAAATATAATTTTTAAATTGGGTTGATGTGAATTGACTCTGGATCTAACATGTGGCTTATGGATTTCCTAGAAGCAGAAGTACTACATTTGAAGGAGTCTATGGACATTTTATTTTGGACATTAACCAGGTGCTTTCAGTAAAAGATGCAGCTCATCATGGTGTCATTTGTACCTTGTAGGAGGGAAATGAGCAGACACCAATGAACGAAGATGAGTTGATCAACTTAATAGATGGTGTTCTGAGAGACGATGACAAGAACAATGATGGATACATCGACTATGCCGAATTTGCAAAATCCCTGCAGTAGACCCGATGTGGCCATCTCCCAGTTAAATGCAAATCTGACCCATTACAATGTGATTGGACACTTTCCGTAATGCAAAATAACTCATTTCCAAAATACTGCTTTGGTATTTTGGCAAAAACCTGTAGCAACTTGTTACACTGGGGTAAGAAAGAGAAATCAAGAGAAATAAAAAAGCAGAGGAATGGGACCTACTGTAGTCCCCAAGTACTGTTAAATATCTTATTGGACAGGGCTTGATTAAAAAATATTGGATGATTGGAGCTGAGCACTCAGGAACTTGGACGGAGAATGCTGCCAGGCTCTTGGTTTTAATTCATGCTACCTGAAAAGTAAGACAAGCTTTTGCTAACTGGACACACTTTTCAGTAACTGAAGGAATGGAATGAATGCCAAATGTTTCCCCTGAGGGCATCCTGTCTCTTCAGAGGAATGTGGTCAGTATTCTGTAAAGTTCCCCTGGCCTAAATGGTTACTTGTTCTGGTCAAGGGAGTATTTATTAGGCTATTCAAAGCCACAGATCAGAAGAATGTCAAATAGTTGAGCTAGCTAGAGTCTAAGATTCTGTATCTCCTGACACTTTGGGAACAACACACCACTGACCTAAGTGATTCACCTTTTTCAGTTTTTCAATATTTTATAATACTACTGCCACATCCTTAAACTATCTTTTATGTCTTCTTCAACCAAGGAGAGACCTCAATTCTAGAAGTGTTCCCTACTTCTCGTCATTAGCAAACATTTTAGCTTTCTAGGTATTTGTATTTAACTCTTGTTTCTAGGGTTTTGTTTTTGCAGTTTAGAAACTCTTAAGAATGTAAGGACTTTATCCCTTCTGCTTGATACAGCAGAGGTGAACTACCAGCCAGTCTAGCCTAAGTGAAAAGTGAAAAGATTCTTCACCAAGCACAGTGATTAACCTAACACACATGAGATCTAGAAGGAGTATTGTTTAAATTACCTCTTCTGCCTGAGTACGTGAATTCTTTCAGATCAGTAGAAAAAGAAGCCTAAAAACTCTTAACAGTGTGAATCTCAATTGTAATTCAAAATCAGAAGTGGCTGCAGATTATAAGTTGGTTTATGGAATGTGATGGATATGCTGTGATAGGAAACCTGAAATGATGGTTGAATGGGTTAAAAAAAAAAACTGCATAAAATTTTCTGTAAGATATATAGACTTATTTTCTGTACCAAAGTATTCTTATAAGAAAAATAAGTATTTGTAAAAATGGTCTCTTGTGTCAGGTATTTGTGCAATCAGAGCTGAATTGTAAACTATTCTTGTAATAACTGGTTATTTTGAAAGATTTATATAATGAATTCTGGATATATGACCAATAAAACTGATGAAATGAAAGAGCAGTTGATTTTTTCCATATAGGCCTCTTCTCCTACCACCCAAAGGGTTGGTTGGTTTAATGCCCACGTTTGCCCTCCCTGGTACTACCTTGGTCCTTTCTGCAGGGGTAGATCTAGGATTCACAGTCACTTTCCTTCTGTAGGCATTTTTTTCCTCTGTATGAAATCGCTTTTTGGACCTTCCTTCTCTGGCCAAGTTCAGATTATGACGACATTGTCTAGGAAAATACAATGTTTTCTCCTTGATTCTCAGTGACTTTTTTCTTAGCCAGAAAATTTAAATTAGATAGCGTTATTGAAAGCACCCTTGGCCCAAGCAGGAAGCACAGTCTCCCCTGGATTTTTGGAAATGACACTTTGTTCTGCCAGTTGAAAGGAGAGCAAAGGAAGAAGTTATTTACCATTGCCTCCCTGACTCCCATCCCCTGCCCGAGACCCCTGGGTCTTGCCCCTCTTCATCCAGAGCTGTCCTTCTGGATGGATCTAGTAAGCAGACCCACGGTTGAAAGAACCTTGTACTGTTGGCAGCTAGGAAGTGAGGCAGCTGGAGAGGAAGAGGCAGATTCCTACAAGGTAGAGTCACCTGGTTAAACAGACCTGGCTTCACTTTGAAATTATTCCACACTGGCCTTGATGGTTAGCCTGCCTTTCCTTATAGGAAATTCCCTGTGGGAGCACTGCCCCCCCCCAACCCCAATCACTGCCTGGTCCATACTTCCCCATCACGGCCCCTTTATCTCCTTTCCCCTACGTGAGGTGTTGGCCGTCTCAGCCCGCCTCGATTTCTCAGATTGTATAAGGAACATCTCTGCTCCTTAATTTCTTTATCTCTAAAATGGAGACAAATACACCTGAGAGAGGCCACCTTATAACACAAGCTTTGAACTCAGGCAGAGCTGAGTTGAAACCCCAGGCCTGCTATGCTCTTAAAAGTTCTCCTACTTTCTCATCTAAAGACATGGTGAAATTTATCCACAGAGTGGTTAGAAGTATTAAAGTGAGGGAAAATATATATAAAACATCAAGCAAATGGCCGGCACAGAATATGAGCTAAACACCATCGGTCCCCTCCCTGTTCCTTAGCCTGGCTGAAGTATCTGGACCGCGTCTCCCTGAAGAGTCGGGTCTGGAGAGGCTGGGAAGAAGTGGGTGGCTCCTTAGGGGCAGACATCAAATGTCTTCTGCTGCTTTTTTTTTTAACCTGAATTTTTTAATTTTTAAAAAATTTTGACCCACTGTGCAGCTTGTGGGGTCCGTTTCCCAACCAGAGATTGGACCTGGGCCACATCAGTGAAAGCACTGAATCCTAACCACTAGACCACCAGGAAACTCTCTCTTCTCTGTTCATTATATTCCTCAATCAAAGTGCTGAATGAATGAGTGAGTTGTGAGTAAGTGAGTGAATTTTCAGGGAAGAAATGAAGGGTCATACTGAGAATGCAATGGTGAAGGACACAAAAGCATGGAAATCAAAGGAGTTTTCTACTCACCTGGCCTCCCATGATTTCACTGGTCCTCAGTTAATCCCCCTTAGAGAGGGGAAAACAGACCACTTCCCAGACCTCCTTAGTCGGCATACGGAAGGCACCCAAGCCGTTAGCTGTGCCTCCTTCCTTAGAAAGATCTAGAAAAGAGAAGAGAGGCGGCAGCAGTGTCCAGGGCTGTGGAGATGGAGACCACAGAGGACAACTGCCTCAAGCCTGCTTTTTCACCTGGCTGTGGTCCCCCCGGGGCGTTTTGGAGGTGTGCAGTTTGAGAAAGCACTAGAAGGGTTTTTTTTTTTTTTTTTTAATAAATGGCAACTGCAAGATGGCAGAATAAAAGCACCTGTATCTCCATCTCAAGTAATAGTCCTAAATCAAGAATAAAAAAAAAAACAAAAAACCAAATTCCACCTTCAGTGACCTGGGTTTGCCAGGCCTGAGGGTGGAAAGCCGGCGGGGAGACTGGCGGTGGACCGACAGGGAAAGAACGAGGGTGGCGCTGAGGGAAGCAGCTCCTTTGTCCCCTAGAATTCTAGGAAGACTTGGGGACTGAAGGAACAAGGCCCCGGGTGGGCACGAAGCGGGAGCCAAAGGCAGGGATTGTTCCAGCCCTGTGAGAGGAGGGCATAGACCCAGCCAGGCCCAGTCTGTTGCAGCCAGCTAGCCCCCTCGTCCTCCTCAGAGTACAGCAGCCTGGCTCTGAGGAGGTAAGCCAGAGATGCTCTTGGCTTGGGAATGCCAAGCAATGTGTGGGGATGAGGGGACCATGCTAAAAGCAGAAGTGAAAGGCTCTTCTGCACATGATCACAAAGCTTCCGACAGCCAGAAGCCAGGCTTGTGTTCCTTGTGAATGAAAAGTCCATTCTCTGGAGACACTGAAGTGCCCCTGCGTAAAGACCTTCAATTACTGACATGTTGGGGTTCCCAATGAAAAACCAGGCTGGCCACCTGCCCCCACGCAGACAACTACCAAATGGAGCCCGTCCAGACACCCATGGCTACCAATCAACTTGTTATTGTCACACTTAAATATGAATGGGTTACTTAGGATTATACGTCAATTCAGGGGAAACCTTCAACACGAGAGAGACAGTAACCAAAACAAGCTGAGAAAAGGAATGCTGAGGACGCTGAACTAATACAGGGGTGAGCAGACAATTAAAGCAATTGTGATCAGTATCTTCTGAGATGTGAGACTTGATCACATCCAGGAAACAATTAAGATGCCATAAGAAAGGAAAAATTGGAAATAGCATCTAGAAACAAAAATGTGATACTATAGAATCTGGAAATAAAAAAAATGCCCTACCCCACCCCCATTATGTTTTCCATGGATGAAAAGTAAGGTCAAGGAAATCTCCCAGGAAACAGAACAAAAAAGCAAATAGTTGGATGAGAAAAGAAAGTAAGAGGATTTACTGAGGAGATCCAACATCCAATTAATAGGAGCTCTTAGAAAGGGAGAACAGAAAGTATGACAGGGAGTAATCAAAAGTCAACTCAAACTAGAATAAGGGGAAAAAATGGGTGAGGATGTGTCGGCCACAGTACTAAACTGACTTCAGGTGTGGCCGACCCCTGGGCTCCCTCCACCACCAGCACCCTCTCTCTGCTGGTCTTCAGCCCCACGCCCTGCGGAGTGCGCTTCACCTGCAGCTCCCAGACAGCAGACCCAGGGCGTCCTCCTCCCTCTCCCTCTCCTCCCCCTGCCCCTCCTCCTCTTCCTCACCCCCCTCCCCCGCCCCAACCACCACCCTCCTCCCCTTGGCTTCCAGCTCAGCAGAGAAGAAAGCCTGACTCTGCAGCACACACCTGTGCCCTGATCATGCCAGAGAAAGCCATATGGCATGGTGTGAAGAGTGTGAACTCTGGTTTCAGACTACCTAGTCTTTTTTTTTTAAGTTTTTTTTTTTAATATAGACTATTTTTTAAAGTCTTTATTGAATTTGTTACAATGTTGCCTCCATTTTATGTTTTGGTATTTTGGCCCCAAGGCATGTGGGATCTAAGCTCCCCAACCAGGGATCAAATCTACACCCCCTGCATTGGAAGGCGAAGTCTCAGCCACTGAGCCGCCTGGAAGTCCTTGGGAGTCTTGGTTTTGTGTCACTGTTCAGTGATACAGCTATTCAGTGGCAAAACCAAGACTCCCAAGG